TAGAGGTACCCTAGGTAAGGTAGCCTTGAACCTGGCCAAGTCATTCTTACCCACCCCTCCAAACCCAGTGGTCTCACCTGGGTGAATGGTGAGGATGTATGTTCTGGAGAACATAGGAGGGCATTTCAGGGTAGGGTACCAGCAGGCACAGGTCAAGCAAGAGGACTGAAAGCAGCATATTTATGAGCAATGATAAATCCCAGTGACCACATATCCTTTGGCCATCCAAGTGTATTTTGCCCAGATTCCGAGAGTTTTGCCACTTTGGTTGTTGTTTTTCATGTTTGGTAAGACAACAGGTGAATCCTTATTTTTTTCTAATGCATTATAACTATATTATATCATAATTATATTACAGTGGGGTTCATTTTAACATATTCATCAGATTTGATCCAATTTGATCCCTAGAATTTCCTCTTTTTCTCCCCTCCTCCCTTCTTTTGCTCTATTGGTCTGCCTTCTATTTATTTATTTTTAATTTGTGCATTATAGTTATATTTAAAATTGGAATGGATTGTGATATATTCATACCTGCACATAGCATAATTTAGTCTTCATTTATTCAGCAAAGGTGCATTGGGTCCTCTCATGTGCTGGGTAATTTTCTAGGTGCTTAAGATATAGCTGCAAACAAAGTAGGCACAGATCTCTCCCCTCCTGGTGCTTAGAATAAGGGAGTTGAGAAAGTTGGTACTACTGAGATGGAGAGGAGAAACCCCAAGCAAGTAAGAAAATAGAGGCGTTGGGGAGACAGAGACAGTCTCTTCAGAACTTTCTTTCAGGGAAAGTTCTGTTGAGAAATAACAGTTGGAGCAAAAGCCCCTCCTGAGGTGAGGAGGCTAGCCATGTGTGTTTGTGGGGGACGTGTTTCAGGCCAAGGGACAGCAAGTGCAAAGTCTCTGAGGCAGGCTGAGCACACCTGGCATGTTGGAGGAACAACAGAAGTTCTTGTACATAAAAGAGAATACACTGGAGTTCATAAGGATCAGATCCCATAAGACAACACAGTCCACTAGAACTTTCTGAAATGCTGAAAATACTCAAGTGCCTTCTGATATGCTGGTCATTAGACCCCTGTGGCTCTTGGCCACTTGACTGTGTAGTGAAACTGAGGAACTAGCTGTTAGTCATATTTTAAGTTTAAATAGCTCCATGTGGCCAGTGGCTGCTCTGTTCAATACAGATGCAGACATTGTAAGCCCCCTCCCCTAGGATCACACACTGAGATCACACTGCCAGGAGGAGTAGAGCACAGAGAGCCAGGGGAGTGAGGGAGACTGTCTGAAGCCCAGAGGCTGTTGATGAGACCTTCAGGGAGACCAGGTGACACTGCTGAGTCCAACTTGGTTGCCCTGAAACTTCTCATAACTCTTGCTCATGGTGCTTCCCTGAATGTGGAACCTTGTGATGTGGCACTGTGCCTGATGTTATGATTATTTTATCAAAATAGTCTAATAAGGAGACTCCCAGAGGACTGAGAGCCATCATCTCTCTAAATGGAGGTGATGTGAATAGGCAGAAAATTAAGGGCAGCAGCCCAACCAGCAGGGCACCAGCTCTGGAGCCCAGGATCTTGCTTTGGTCTGCCTGTCTCTGCTTCTTCCAAAGGTTTAACTCAAAATGGGGGGGGGGAGCTTCCACATGAACCATAATCTCTGAAATGCTTCCATCTGTCTTTCAGTGATTCTAATGCAATGACCCATAGAGGAGATTTTTTTTTAAGTCAGCTGTTGTGAATGATGAGTTTTGGTGTTAGTTGTATGCATTTCCTCTGCTTGGTTGTTGGTATCTACATAACATCTCCCACCTGGCTTTGTCTCCCATTCTCCCTGTTTTGTGGTATGATGCCCACACCCACTGTACCCATAGATCACCTGCCAATGGAAGAATAAAGGAATAAAAGAGCCAGGATGGTTTTGGGTGCTCTATTATTTTTCTGAGTTTTGAAAATCTATTTTAATCAACCTTTATTAATAATTCGGTGTCATGAACCACAACTTTGCAATCTGAATGCATGCTTTCTTTATGCTTCTGAGTAAGTATCTGTGAAGATTTAATGGCAGAGCCCTGAAACCTATTTCTTTGCTTCTTGAGTAGGGTGATGTAACTCTCAGTTTCCAACACCAGAGTCAGTGCTTATATCAGGCCCATGTGCTGAGGAGCAGCAGTCCCAGAGCCTTATCTATGTGATGGGGAAAACCTCACTATACCACCGTGGCCATTGGCCACCAGGAAACAAACCAATCAAAACGTGAAGTTTCAGGGGCAACAGGAAGGAACATGTAGGAGCAATTGAGGTAAAATGGGTTTATGTGTGTAAACCATCTGTTTCCAAAGATGGCACTCAGGACCTGTCAGATAACAGGGATCAGAGAGTCAGACAGCCGCGAGCTGGGTGGTGCCGTCCTTTGGCAAGAATTTCAGTCTCTCCAATAACTCTGTCCTTAGTAAAATGGACATGACAATAAAAATTGTGATCATTTCCAGAGTTGCTGTGAGAAAGCAGTGAGCTCAAGTGTGTAAAACTCTTTTTAAATAAAAAAATCCCCCAAACTAAAAATTTAAACAAATATGCAAAGATGGATTTATTGTTCATGTGCAATGATTTCCATCTGCACTGTCACCACCCATGATGTGAAGCTCATGAAGGTCAAAGTCTGATTTGAGGGCTGGAAGTGGCTGTTCCTGCAGCCTGATTGTCTGCCCTCTGAGTCTGATCTGTGGATAGAGGTGAGTTTGTCACAGGCCAGTCCTTTTAAACACCAGTGGTCCCCTGACACCCTGAAGTCGCTTGTTTTCAGGGGGAGTTCTGGAAAGCATTGAGATGACAGGGCTATTTGTGTGCGAAGAGGCACAGCCGTGGATACATTCCAATTCAGTGCTGCTCGTTCTTCATTCTGATGGACGATTCCGACTTTCCAGTGGGCTGGGAATCGTTCATCTCCACCTGGACTGTCCACGGTCCTCGCATCTCCCCACATGAATTATGCATGCCTGTGGGCTGTTTCGTTTTCCATCTCTAATCGCCATAATGATGGTAATTTTCATTTCCCTTTACTGTTCTGAAGACCATATGGGAGATGGTGTGCATAGTAAAAAGAATAGAAATTTCACAGACAAGGCTCCTGTGGATGGGATGCGATATAGGCCCAGACATGTTGACAGGACCGTGTACCAGATGGCAGTGACTCACACCCGGGCAGAGAGTGAACAGTGATCTGCAGGATGGAAGCTTGGCCAGGAGCTGGTCTTGTGGCCTCTGGCAGATCACGTCCCTTGTTTTTGGAATGATGCTTCAGATCCCCTGACCTGCAGGTCCGTCCGTGTGTGGTGGGGTGGACAGACTCTGTGTGTTCACCAGTGTCCATCCTAGTACCACCTGGAGAAGTCCTTGCTTATTATCTGAATGAACTCATCAATATTTATGAGCCTATTTTCTCTCTTTTGACTCCAGAAAAGCAAAAGCCTAACAGGGAGCCCCTATTATCTCACCTCAGCACCGCTGCTTTCTGAACAGGAATTAGAGACTCTGACTGGCAGGTTTATGTACATTTAACTTGCAGAACTAAGGAAGGACACCATTATCATCTGAGAACCTCCTCAGTGTCTGTGACTAGAATATCTGTGGAGAGGATTCAGGGGGCCCAGGGCAAGTGGGGAGGCAGGCTGGTGTTCACTTGGATGTCCCCTCATAGCCTAAGTACCACCATGGCTTCCTGAGCATCTCTACCCTGCAGCCAGGTCCTCTGCCAACCACTAGCAAAGGAGTTAGGAAGTTAACCTCAAGATGAAATGTACCATTTCTTTTTTTTTTAGGAAATGACGTCTGGAGTAAGCTATGACTCCATCTTTATATAAAATAACAGGTGGAACAGAGTGACCCTGATATTGTGATGAGTCAGAGTGAAAAGAGCATGTTTTGATGAGGCAAAACAAAACAAATAAATAAATAAATCACAATAGGAGGCCAGCCAGGGGTAAAAGAAGGCAGAAAACAAAGATGGCCTCCACAGAGACACCTAGGGTAAGAGAGATTTGCAGGGCGTCTGGTACTGAGTACCCTGAGAAGACTGATGAGCCCCTTTGGGGAGATTTGGGTAGTGATTCTCATTGCTGGCTCAAGTTGAGAATCATCTAAGCTTCTTTTAAAAAATTTCTAAGCCCAGCCAGTCACCCATCCTCCCCCCCTAATTCAGAACTCTGAGGACATTCTTGGTCAGGCCTGGACTGAGCCCTACTTATAAATGGGCCCTGATGCAAACAGACCAGCATCTAAAGGCAGCTTCTTCCAAAGCAGCCATTATTTTCTTAGTCTGGAGCTTAGAGGTGAACATGAGAACCCTCTATGTCCTGACTCGATTCAGAGTCAAAGGAAACTGGAAGGGGAGACTTATAAGATCCTTTTCTCCTTTTATACATACTTGTCCTGCAGTGTCCTGTAAACTAGCAAGAATTCTTAAAATAAAAAGAAAATCCACAAGGGAAAAGCCTTCTGAAAGTCTGTAATGCCATCCTCTGATAGTTTCCATGTTCACCCCCACTGTCCTGGCACTAAGATCCCAAAGATCTTTGAAAATAGATGCTTCTATTAGAGTCCTAATAAACACAATATAGGTAGAAAACATCCTAAGTTGAAACTATGTTCAATACTCTCATATATCCATCATTGATTCAAAATTCATAAGTTAAGTCATCCAAAATTGGGGACCATCTGTGCTGAAATTGGTTTCTCTAGGATTTTAACTGCTGTTGAACTACCCAAGAATCCTGTGTTGGGATTCCTGCTCTTGTTCAGGGTTCCTCAGTAAGAGGCATCATTGTTTTGAGGCTATATGTTTCTAGGCAATCATGGTGACACTAATGAGATAAGCAACAGCAGCTGCAGGAGCAGCTGCAGAGAGCCTGCTTCAGCCAGGAGTGGTACCCACATCTTGGGGCAGCCCGACGATGGATGATTCCTTTACTAATCTTCTCTCCTATTCGGCCTGTTTTCCCTGCAGAGTGACTACTCAAGTGACACAGAGAGTGAGGACAACTTCCTCATGATGCCCCCACGTGACCATCTGGGGCTCAGCGTCTTCTCCATGCTCTGCTGCTTCTGGCCTTTGGGCATTGCCGCCTTCTACTTGTCCCATGAGGTAAGGCCTCTGTCAATCATTTGCACCCAGTGCATGATGGTGTTAATGTTAGACACACCCAGACCAGGGAGAGGAGAGCGAGCCAAGGAAGCCTGTTCATCTCCTGCAAAAAGGGGGTCAGCATGTGAGCAACTGGAGAAGGAGTTCAGAAAATCTGGGGAAGCTCCGGGGGGTCTGAGCAGAATCCTTTAGGTTGCTTCATCTCTAAGCATGATATGGCTCTGTCCTTGCCGGGATGGGGACTGCCTTCAAGAGGAAGCCTGTATGGCAGAAGCACATGACTACTTGGTAGAGAGCAGATGGCCTTTGGGAACTTGACTTTCACTTAGGCCTTGAGTTCACAAAGGCAGACCCAACCCCAGGACTGGGGAGCATAGTGCTCAGATAAGTACACCCTAAAGAACACAGAACTCTGTGAGAAAGGTGAAAATGTGAGCTTTGTTTTCCTTGTTAAAGGCTCATTTGTATAAAGCAGATTCTGGTTCCACTGTAGGTGGTGTGTACCAATCCCAGTGAATGCTGTGCTAGTGGAAATGGCACATGTCAGTGTGCAATTGTGTCCTCCCTCGCTCCAGGGGAAACTCATGAAGGTACCAGTTCCCAGCCCTTTTTCATTACACAACACCCTCTTGGTTGTCCCCACGTGAAACCCAGATTTTGAACAACTTATCCAGCAAAGGAAGATTGTTCACTCAGAAGTCATCTCTATTCATCCAAGAAAAGACCCTTAGATTATCAATTAAAATGTGAGATTACAGTGTCACCAGAACCTGTTACCATTACCCAACCAAAACTGGTCAAAAGGCAGCATCATTGTCAGCATAACAGTGCTCACAGGGTGTACTCGGGCAGGTGGAAAATCCCTGGGGGCACTTGGGGAATCCTCCTGTGCATCCTATGAGTCTGGGAATGAAACTGCAAATGGCTGACTCTGGTAGGTCCTTTGCTCAATAT